CCATTCTCTGCACACATATTTTACAACAATGTATGTGTGAGCTGAAACCACAAATAGAGAGACAAAGTAAAGATGCAAAAAAGAAGAAGTCACAAGAAATAAAAGATAAAAATTAACATTAACATGCTCCTATATCATACACAAAGGGTAGCATGTGGCCTAGCTCACTGCTGAACCGTCAAACAGCTGTTTCAACAGCATTAGAGAGAAATTAAGTACTCCTGATGCATGTAAAAAAGAAAGTACACCCTCTTTTAATTCTAAGGTTTGACATATCACGACATAATGAAAATACAGTCTGGTCCTTACCAGGTTATAAAATGAGTTAAATAAAATCTTCATGATGTGTTACACTGTGTCATTATTGATTTAACAAAACCTAGTGTAAAATGAAAAATAGCCATGGGAATAACGGTAAATGGACCAGTATTTACATAATACCCTTCTACTCAGTTTGAGCATTCAAAGCAGCTTCTACTACAAATCTAATTCACCTAATCACACACGCATTCATACAGTGCTTTTGTATATACCTAAGCATTTTTATCTAACATTCACATGCAGATGGATGCACTGGGTGCAAACTTAAGTTCAGTAGCATGTCTGAAGATGCTTCAACACATGGACAGGAGGAACCAGGGAGGAACCAAGGACTGATGCACTGATCTTTTGATTAGTAGACACACTGCCTCAGCTTATATGAGACACCTTTCCTGGTTCCATAGGAATTTAGAGGGTAAGTAGCAGCCAGGTGCAGCCATTGTGAGCATCTCTGTGAAATCAGAAGTGTTGGAAGTTTGCAGGTCTGAAGCATTCAGGTGTTGGTTAACACAATACCAACAAAGACAACAATAGTGACTTTTTTGCTTCCCATTAGTCTGGGAAGGATTATAAGGGCATCATTCAACAGCCAGAATGTTTATTCATAAGTGGAAAACATTCAAGACAGAGGAAGTCCTCATGAATTCACCCCAAGGTTAGACCGTGGTCAGACGAACCAGCAAAAACACATAAAGAGCTACATATCAGACTTTACAGGCTTCTGTTAGCATTTTAAATGTTAAAGTTCATGACTATTGGAAAAAGACAAGTATGGCTTGTTTGGAAGGGTTCTCAGGAGGAAGCCTCTTCTCTCTAAAAGAGCATGACAGCACGGCTTAGGTTGGCAAAATTGGCAAATCTCAACAAACCACAGGGCTTGTGGAACAATGTCCTGTGGAGAGACGAGGTTGAGGTGAAAGATGTTTGGCCACAGTGCACAGCACCAGATTTGGAGAAAAGCAAACACAGATTATCACAACCCCCCTTACAGCAGCTGTCACAGAGGTGACATTAAACTCCCGTGTATATCTATAACTATAATTTTTCAAGAAATGTGAAACTGTCTATCTGAGAGCTACAGCTCGGCTGAAATTGGGTCATACAACAGGACAATGATCCCAAGCACAGCAGCAAAGTGACAACAGAATGACTGAAAGAATCAGGTTGCTGCAATGACATAGTCAAAGTCCAGACCTCAACCCGATTGAAATGCTGTGGCGGGACCTTAAGAGAACTGTGCATAAACGAATGTCTGCAGACTTTGATGAACTGAATGAACGCTGTGGAGATGAGAGAACAAATTTCCTGCACAACAATGTGAGAGGCTGATAAAGTCACACAGATAATGTATTGCAGCTAAAGTGTTTCTGCAAGCTACTGAATCATTTTTAACACTGCTTCTGCATTATGGTTTCATTTTTTTAAAATAAATAATGTAAAGGTGGAATAGATCATATGTTGTTGTTCATATAAACAGCTTTAGGACCTTAAGTCATCTGTAAGGACAAGATGATTAAAAAAAAAGTATTGATATGTACAGTAAAACCTTTTTCACGTGACTGTATACACAGTAAAGTCAAAGTTAGTGGTTACAACTAACCAGCAGGTCCTCAGGTTTGTAACCTAACGGCGGGCTTGTCAGGAGAGTTTGAAAACAGGAAGGAATATGCGTATCTGAAATGTCAAGTGCACAAAGATGCCTGCAGCTTTATCCCATATTTAAATAATTATACCCAGAATAAATGTGACTTTGAAGCTTTTTGCTTCTTCACTCCCTCCACGTACAGATTGTTTACAGCCGAATCCTTCATGTCACCCTCTCCACATGTAAGCTTTAAATGACCAGCTTGCTCTGGACATCATTACATCATTAGACTCCAGTACCGTAACAACTATTATTTACCTCAAGGCAATGATAAACCTAGTGATTTACTGTGGCATAGGACAGCGTTGCTTCATTTCTGAGCCTTGGCGTGTTTAAGTAAAGACCTGAGGGGCTTCGTATCTGTGGGTTTTTTTAATGATCTCAGTGTTTGTCTGAGTAGAAACCTCCCCAGCTACTTCACCCGTAAAGGTCAATTCCGTTTCCTCAACTATCTTTAATCAGCCTTTGGGTGTTGGTAGTCAAACACTGGAAACAACTGGTATTAATCAAGTGCAGGCCGTAAAGAGGCTGCGGACTGCAGTCCAGAGAGGAAGGCTATGCCTGGAACAATGAAAGTCTTAAATCAAGGTGAGTCCTTTGATCACTTTGTAATTTAATCAGGTCTTGGCACACACGTACACACACACAGATTTACCAGTGCAGAGATCTGTGTCATTCTGAGGTCTCTTTTTCATCAGTTTTACTTCTCAGTTCTTAACTTACGTCACCTTATACTTTGATCTTAACCTTGTTCGACAGGTCAAATCCTGACTGTTTAAGAAGATCAATGGCAGCATTAGCTTAGAACAAAGACTGAAAACAAGGATAAACAGCTGCTCCGGCTCTGTCTAAAGATAACACAATGCATCATTTGTTTTTTGTGTTTTATCCATACAGGAAGCAAAGTTTAAATTAAAAAAAACAACAACTGAAGCTGAAGTTTTACAGGCCTATCATGTGCATGAATCTTCTCTGCACAGGGATAGAGACTTTCTGTGATCTCTGCACCATTTTACGACTCAAGGGAAGACTCTGTCTGGCCAATAGAAAGGTCTGTACACCCTTAGTTCTGCGCAGATTAAAAAAAAAAAAAATCCTAAACAAATATTAAGTAATATTTTAAATCTGAGCTACACAGAATCCCATATAAAGGTAAGATAAGCCCTTTCAGTAATGCTGAAAGAAAACCAGCAAATCCTTATTGACAAAAACAAAGACAATGGGGAGAAGAGGAAGTACCTTCCAACAGGAAGATGTCTCCTTCAAAGCCGAACTCGGAGAAGGTTTCCCATCAATCTCAACTGGCCAAAGTGAGGGTTAAAAGTGAAGAAAGAACTCAGACATATCTGCAGAAAGGTACAAGGGAATGCAGGGAAGTCAAAAGGCAATGCACAAAGTTTAGGAAATACATTGGCAGTGAAAGTGGGGCGAGTAGAAAGGAGCATGGTGCACAGTGAGGGGTCATCAGCCTGACCTTGGTTCAAGGTCACTGGGTCCAGTCCTAACTATAAGCTTTGAGAAAATACAAAGATTGAAGGCTAATCATAAGGAGAGTGGTTTCACAGAAGAAGACCCTGATGTCTGAAGCCTCTACCTCCAGTTCTGCTTTTAGAAACTGAGGGCACCACCAACAAACCTACAATCTTTACTGGGACAATATGGTACTGTGGTGTCATTACGACATGACAGGGTCTGATCACTCAGGACTGTTTTATGCAAGGTGAATAATTATAGATTGTGAATATTAGAGGAGCTAATATGGGAGAAATATTGCCTCTCTTGCTAGAACTTTTACTGCAGCATTTTCAATCAGAAAGAAGCTTTTCAGGAAGCTACTGACAACCTGATAAAAGGGGAACTGCAATAGTTCAGCCTAAAAGTGATGAGTTTATGGACTCCTGTTTTTCAGCATCATTTGGCAACACTGAGCAGGATGAAAGGAGACAGCCCTTTACACTTTTTGAGTTTAGGCCAGCGCCTGTTTTCAGATCATTGTTGCTGCTATCATCGCTGTCATGAGGTTGCAAGTCATAATGACAGATGCAAAAGACTTTATTAGCTGCACATTTTAATACTCAATGAAATAAAAAGAAACACTTAAATATTTACTTTAAAAAATCTACATTGTGCAACGTGACCAAAGCTGCCGAACACTTGTAAACACCTGAAAACCGAGGGTGTGTTTGTGCTGCATTGGGGCGAGGAAGAAAAAATATAAGGAAAGAAACGCAGAACTAACCTTTTAAAATTTCTCACTGGCCATTTCTGCACCCCCTGAAGACAAACTAAGCGTTTTATTATTAGTATTTTATCCTGGTAAGGACATTTGCTCCTCCGAGGCGAACTCTGACACACTCACACACCCCTTTCACACACTTTGACTGCTCAGGCGTTTAAAGCTGAGGCGTTGGGCAAGTTGCGACCAGCATGCACTAGCAGGTGATACAAGTTGTATTTTTTTTTTGTTTTTAACACCTACCTGCCACTGGCTCCCACAGTTCCACCATATGGTGTTGCTGTTTTTTCTTCTTCAGTTGGACTTGTATGATTGTGTTTGTGGCATTCGTTTCCCACTACTACAGTTCTGTTAAAACCCTACGTCAGCATTTTTTTTCTTGAGGCAATAACAAGAAATATGAGTAATCAGAACTCGCTGTGACAAAAACGAGTAAGTGTGATGCGACTAAAAAGACGTCGCCATGCCTTAGACCGTTCTCTGTATTTGAAGATTTTTCCAAGTTAAATGAATGCGCAGAGAAAATACTCCTAAATTGATCTTGTTTTTTGATAGAGAGGTGCTCCTGATTGATTGACTGATTTAATTATTTAATCATTGCCAAAAACCATAAACCACTGATAATGACATGACCTAGAGGACAGTGGATTTTAGAAATCAAATATGAGCTCAAACTTAAATTAAAAAGGGAGTTCAGCTGACAGCCAAAAGCTGCTCTCTTGACACTGTGGGACTGCTGGGAAGCGCTCCGGGCGTTTTCAGCAGAAGTTTCACCCCCCGCCCCCCTTTCACTTGCTGTTTCAATCTTGAGAGTAAACCTCTGTGAGGAGTCACTGTCTGCGCGACACAGCCGGGAGACGCAACGATGGAGATTTTCTGCGTGTTTTTCTCCGCGCTTTTCGCCTATGTGGTCGGCGATGCCATCCCTCATCATGGAATCCACTGGACATACAAAGGTGGGCATTTTTCTTTCAGCGTGTCTGTATTAGTTTTAATATAATTTACGGCACTATTCTTTTTTTTAAATCCCCTAGAACTGTGCTTTCACTGGAGTTGAGGAGTGGTGCGTAAAGCGTGCGTAAAGCCGTTTATTGTGCAACACAATTAATTAACAAATAGCATTGTAAAAAATAATAATAAAGTGATTGAAATGAAAATTGGGTTATTACTGTTTATTCACAAAGATCAAATTCCTTTGACTGCTTGGTGCCCCGGGTGACTTCTTGGACAAATGCTTTTTGGTTAACAGCTGGTTGACTCTTGTAAAAACCATGAAGGGACCATTTGGTGTACAGCGCAGCTGCTGCTAAGATTCTGGGGGTGAATGTTATTTGAAGACGCAACATTATTTTCTTGAACAAGCCCCCGGCGTGCCAGGGAACCAGCAACATGTGAGCTGGGTGGTTAATCCATTTCAAAGAAGGCTAATGTAAATCGACAGTTCAAACAGTGTCAGTCTGTTCGTGCATGTATCTCACTCTAGGAACCTTTTGGCATTTAAGCGGATAATCAGCTGTCTGTTTTTCCATACAGAGGGCGCTTTGGATCAAATGCACTGGGCAACCCAGTACCCTGCGTGCGGCGGTAAGAAGCAGTCCCCGATTGACATCCAGCGGCGCAACGTTAGGCACAACCCTGACTTGTTACAATTGGAATTCAGCGGATATGACGCGCAGAAAGGGACTTTTCTCATGTCCAACAACGGGCACTCCGGTAAGAAAAGTCGGCAAAAATAATAATAGTAGCCTACAAAAAACCAAAAATTACTAAGTTTACTAAGTTCACTATTAACTTGCACAGAGACCACCAAAGCACAGTTTTTTCTGCAATAGTTCCGGAACTATAAAGCCAATATTTACGTTGATGTTGAGGTAGAATTTGCATTTTTAGAAATCCTCTCTTTTATCTATATTTTCCGAGACTGCAATAGTTTTTGGAAAAGTCATCACTGCATCACATCGCATCAACAGCACTGATAACACTGACCAGCCTGCTGCTGAAATAAATGTAGGCTAAGGCTTTCCGGAAATCAGACATACAGCGGCAGCTATGTAAAGTATTCATGATTTGTGATGATATATTGGTGTCGCCATCAGTTCAAATCGACCTACCTCCCAGTATGAAGATCATTGAGGGACTCCCGGGAAAGTACACAGCCGTCCAGATGCACCTGCACTGGGGTGGCTGGGACCTGGAGGCCAGCGGAGCAGAGCACACCATAGACGGGATCCGCTACATGGCAGAGGTAGGCTTACAAAACACAAAGGCTGGCCACTGCAGTAAAGCCAGGTTTTAATGTCCTCCTCATGCTCAACCAACAACTGAGATATATTATAAATGTAGGTGCAGAAGTTTAAAGTGATGTTGGGTTTCATCAGAATGGAAACCAGAATGACCTGCATCTAGTTATCAGCACTCGTTTGTGAAACCATTTCTGAGCTGCGCACAAGCAGCTTCATGTTGAACAGTTTTAAGACTTTCTTTCATTTCATCAAACAGCTGAACAATCGATTTGTTCTTAGATTAAAACTGAATTTAAAGTTAGTAAATGCATTTCTATCTCCTGATGTTTCCATCCAAATCGTAGGTCACTTAGCATATTTGGCACTTAACCTCTCCTGACTCTTAACCTTCTCTTCCAGCTGCATGTGGTCCATTACAACTCTGACAAGTACAAGAGCTTTACTGAGGCCAGAGATAAGCCAGACGGGCTTGCTGTCCTCGCCTTTTTCTATGAAGTACGTGAGCCACAAATACCCCTTCCTCTCTTCTCTCTCTAACCACTAGGCTCGTACACAACTGCACAGAATACAAGTGTTCTGTTAGACAGAAGACCACAACTGACACTGTGAGAAGTTTAGAAAGTGAAAAATAACATACTTTGCAGTGAAAAAACATAAATTTGGCAAACAGTCTGACAGTCTTTGAAGTCTGCGATACTTTGTTCTGCTCATCCTGCCGGGTTATAGGCTTTATTGAGTCTTCAGCTACACGGCAGCACAGTGAATGAGTGCTTGTTTCCACCGGGCTGCTCTGGATCTCAGACAGCCTGTAACCTTCAGCTATGAGACGCTTCCTTTCCTTTCCTTTGAGAGGTCATCGCCACAGCAACACCACAGCTGGCATCCACTGTGGTAGCAGCAGTTTGGAGTCAAATAATTTAGATGCATCCAAGTGAGAGTTTAAATGCAACTGGGACTTTATTTTCACTTCTACAGCACTTTACTCATAAGTTAATATCTGACATCTGTCAAAGAAGGAACATGAAACAGTCAGAATGACTAAAAATTATAACTTATCTATAAAAACATGACCAAAACTGCCAGATGTGTGCAACAGTCACAAGTGACTCATCAAATGTCCGTTGTTGTATTTTTTTTTTTTTAAAGAAATCAACTTTTTTTTGGTTTCTAGCTCTTTATAAAACAAGTTAATAAATCTGGAGTTTTGGTTGTATCAGTGCCTTTTAAGCATGTTAAATACAATTTTATGATGAATGTTAAAGCAACACAAAGGTTTTAAAAAACTGTAATAATCCTCTAAAGCCTGCATTTGTGGGGTCAAGTCAGAATTATTTCTTTTCACTGAAACTTTAAGCATCAATGTTACACAGCTTTGTTTTATTTTCTTTCCAGGATGGCCATTTTGAGAACACCTACTATAGTGATTTTATTGCAAACTTGAAGAAAATCAAGTATGCTGGTGAGTTACTCACTAAAACAAACAAACAGAAGAAAAACCCCACATTGCTCTACTTGGGGTCAGAATCCAAATGTGACCTCTAGCTGAGCCATAACTCACTGGTTTAGTTTAACATGGTGTTTGTGTAACCCTCACAGGTCAGTCCATGAACATATCCAACCTTGATGTCCGCTCAATGCTCCCCGAGAACCTGAACCACTTCTTCAGATACCAGGGCTCCCTCACCACTCCGCCCTGCTACGAGAGCATCCTCTGGACTGTGTTTGATACGCCCATTACTCTTTCACACAACCAGGTAAGGCCGCCCAGAGAGCCCTCTGCTCCAAAACTATTTTTTTCAAGAACACTGATGTTTTTTTAAAATAAAGTCATAAGCCTAAGTCCTAAGTGGAAAACTGTTGAAGGGAATTGGTTTCTTTTAAATCTATTTTGCTGCTGTGCCACAAACTTATCTGCTCTTCTGCTGCGTTCAGATCAGGAAACTGGAGAGCACACTGATGGACATGGACAACAAGACCCTCTGGAATGATTACCGCATTGCTCAGCCTCTCAATGGGCGTATTGTGGAGTCTTCTTTCTTGCCGCGCCTCGGGAAAGGAAGTGTGTAGCTTATCGTTACCACACGATTGCACAATGATGTTATTATTTTTATCCTTAGAACTGGTGTTGGGTGGAAGGAGATGTGCAAGCTTGAGTCTATTTCTCAGTGCTTCCTTTGACTGTTTGTTTTTTCAGCATTTTGTCGGCAAGATGAAATGGAATCCAGGCTCCACAAGATCGAGGGTCTGATAACATCCATTGGAAAGAACATTCATTCAGGTGCTTGCTCATCTTAAAAACTGCCAAAAATAGCTATATGTAAGAGATGGCTGTATTTACTCTGCAGTGTTTGCTACTTTCTCATTTCTTCCCTTTAGGTGGATTTCACAGCTCAAGGCCTACCAGACATGGTGGGTGGTTTTAAAATTTGATATTGATCTGCAGTTAAAGTAAGATGGCGCTTCTCCAGCCTGATTCTTGTTTTCTGTCCTCAGAAACTGGCTCTTTGTTTCCTTTGGTGCTCAACTTTCGGGAGAAAGATTCTGGCAGTTATGCTTTGGCCAGCCTCAGCCACCCCATGGACCTGGACGCCTTCACCGTCTGCATGCACGTCCTGCCTCAGGTCGAAGGAGTCCACACCGTCATCTCCTACTCCAGCAACGGCAATGACAACGAGCTGATGATCTCCATCGGAGAGGACAGGGATGCGAGAGAAGTCGGCCTCTGGATTGGCAACGAGTTTGTCAACTTGCCGCACAACTTCAAGCCCAAGGACTGGGTGAACTACTGCATTACCTGGTCGTCGCACACCGGCGGTGCGGAGCTCTGGATTAACGGCATGGTGGGGGAGCAGCGGTACCTCAGAAGGGATTATACAATCAGATCTGGCGGTGTGTTCCTTCTGGGCAAAGACCAGGATGGCTTACTGGGAATCTTCAATGCTGATGGCTTTGTGGGGAAGATGACTGATGTCAACGTGTGGGACTATGTGCTGACCACAGCAGATATCCGAGACCAAATGCAATGCATGAATAACAGCATGGTGGTGGGAAATGTCTTCAGCTGGGGAAACACCAAACTGAGCATGTACGGAGGGGTGCAGCTGGACAGTCAGTACAGATGTTCCTGATGCTTCTGTTTGTATGAGCTTCAACATGCTGCAACAAGCCAGAATATCATCTGTTGATGTTGGGGATTTGATTGAATTGTTGGTGAAGGGTTCATGGTATGTTTTACAAAGGATAAAATGCTTTTCAAGGCGCCTACAGGTCAATATTAAAAACACGTCACAGCTTGAGCCATGTACTGCATTCATATGTCATCAATAAAAGCTTACAAGAGACCTGCTGTCTGCTCACTGACTCCTTCACACGTCCTTAACGCTGCATCTAGTGCATTCACCGACTCACAGCAAACCTTAGCCTGCATGGAAATCTACCAACATCTGCAGGCGCAAATACAAAGAAAAGGCACACAGAGGCATCTAAAATTAAAACACTGTCAAGTCTTCTACCACACACACACTCCCTCGCTCCACACCCGCAGCGAATACTTCCTCTTCTATCAATGTTCTCCTTCTTTCTTCAGAAGGGCGTGGCCTTCTGTGCATCCTGTGGGCTCTCTTTGAGCTCTTTCAGCGGCAGATCGCCGTCACCCAGATTTAACTCCACTTTGTTCCTCTTTGCAAACATCTGGAAGACCTCCAGGAAGGTCTTCTTCTTTGTTTCGGGCACCACCAGCCAGATGTAGATCAGGGTGACCAGACAGATGACGGCAAAAATGATGAAGCTGTAGGGGCCCAGGCCTCGCTGGGGAGAGAAGGAGAGGAAATGTGATTTCTGGGTCCTCGACATGAAATGTAAATATGTCAGGGAGACAAACAGAGCAAACAAGGTGAGGTCAAAAGTGAAACACTGCTCTTTATCGATGTTTCTCAAGCATCTTCTTCCCTTGATTACACTTTCAGGTTTAAACTTGTAAGAGGAAGTAAACATGAGATGAAGCTTATGTTTATATCTAAGATCACGTCATTCAGTGAAAACTCCTACACATAATGTCTCCTCATTTAAGATTTTACAATATGTTTTCTGGTGTTATAATATTCAAGCTCCGACATTATGTTTCAGGCGTTGTAAATGCAGTAAAAATTGTTTCTGGTGCTCTCTGCATGTTTGCATTCCTCATGTATCTTCCTCCTCCTCATTCCCTATGTTGTGCCTCTTCTTGTCCTTTTCTTATTTTGTTTTCTCTGTCTGTGTTTGTGTACGAGGAGTAGGTGAGCCACTCCCTTTCCAGTTTTTCCCACTTCACTCGACGACCGAAACCAACACTGTTCTCTTGTGCTTAGATCCACCAGCTTCGCGCCTGCCTGCCTGTTTTAATCAGCTGCTTTGATCACCCCGGGCTCCAGTCTGCCCTGTTTACTGTGAGTCAAACAACAAGCCAGCTTTGCACACAGAAACCGTTCCTGACTAGTTCTGCAGCCAGCAACACTAAGCCATCCACCCAAGAAAAATCACTCCTTCTTTGAGCATGCACAATAAATGTTCTAAGTGTCACCTAAAGATGAAGTGTGCATCAGGTGTGATAGGTCCAAACTGCATTCTCTAGCATGACAGCAATCAATAATAAACAGGAGGAACCAACTGATTTTTTAAAATGTTGTTCTCAGTTTGATACCTGAATCAAACCTCGGCCTCCATCTCATCCTATCCCCAGCATCCTCCTGTGTCACACAACTCTCTGCATGTCCTCCTTCACTACATCCATGGATCTCCTCTGTGTTCTTTCTCTTTTCCTCCTACCTGCCAGCTCGCCAGCTTGCTTGCAAATCTATGCAAACTGAAAAGAAAATATCAAAGTAATCCAATTATAAGTGACATAAAGGATCACAATATATCGAGGACATAAACTGCCTTGCTGGTTATGCTTGATAAAACATCTGCAGCTAATTCCACTGAAGTCTGAACCTGTAAAAATTGAGTGACTAACCTCGAGGAAGGGAAAGATTAAACCAACGACGAAGTTGGAGAGCCAGTGGACGGAGCCGGCCACCATGAATGCCGCAGGCCTGGCTGTTTGCCGGAACATCTCAGTGGCCACCACATAAGGAATGGGACCTGCAGAACAAAAATGCAATTAACCACAACCAAAACACTCGAGACAGACATCATCAGTCTTCACAGTCAGAGAGGATGTTCATGTCTCAAACAAACTGAGTGCTGATGTACAAACTTTGATTATATGCCTGGTTACATCTAAACAACACTTCAGCTAATGGAGCGCCCTGCTGTAATCAGTATGTGTGTAAAAAGCCACAGGTCTACTCAGACAGACTCACTCGGTCCTATGGCATGTCCGATGACGTAGATGATGACAGAGGCGATGCTGACATAGGGCATCCATGTCACAGTCTCCTGCAAACACAGACAAGCAGCTCTCAGTAACTATTCCTTCTGATGTTTGTAAGCAGGAGCAACATTAACGGCTCCACATGGAGGCCTTGAGGATCAAAGGCAGATGATTAATGTGCCTACTCTCCATTGTGTCTCTAAATTGTGCCTTTACTGCTGCTGAAAATGACGCCTGTCTGAAAACATTGGCTCCAGGTGAGGTTGCAGGTTTGAAGGAGGGCAGCACTGCGTTTGCGGTTCTCTCTAATAGTCAGTGTTTATGTGCAGGTTTCATGGCTCCTGCAAACAAAGGGGCCAAAATATCACTTTACTGTCTCAGACCATGATGGGAATCTTAGACGTACAACATGATTAGAGGCTGGTAATCTGTAGCACGGTGACACCGTTTGTTATTTTGGCTTTTTACTGGTTGCGTCTTGTTTAATTATTTTGCCAATCTGTCATCATGTCAGATTCTGCTGTTCCTTAGCTGTCCTGCAGGAGTTCTCACTGTGGCTTTTCAGAAATGGCCAAAACATGGGGATAAAGTGCGGGTGAAATTAAATCAAACATACAAAGATTACATATTTAAATGGCTATCATTGTTGTCTTTGGCTCTGATCACTACTCAACTCGGCGCCACAGCTAATTATGGATATCCAATGAAACTCTCAACCTAGTAGCAGAACACAAAAGAACAAAACTGGTTGACTTTGATTCAGTAATCAAAGTCAAATTATTTAATTATTTACTATATTATTTTTAGTTACTATATTTATTATTATATTTATTAGTTGCTGCCTACTCAATCTACAAGTGCGCAGGATGATGAAGAGGGACGCATTCTGGGAAAGTGGTTGGAGACCTTGAAGAAGCATTGTCAAGGCATGAAAACTGCACACTCTACTACATGTTGCGAGGTCTAAGTGACAAGTTGAATTCCACCAACGACAACACCAAGAAAGCAGATGGTACCTTTGTGCGCTCAGCAACCAAACGCCTTCATTGTTTTAAAGAACATGGCCTCTACAACCATGACCCAGGCCCAACTACAGTGCCTCCCGAAATCGACCCCCACCATTTCCCATTGTCGGACACCGAACCAACAATCGAAGAAGTCAAGCATATGAATGGGAAAACACCCAGGCTAGACCACGTCGCTGCAGAGGCAATCAAAACGGGAGGGGATATCCTCATTTCTCAACTGCATGGACTACTTCGACTGATCTGGAGAACAGAGAAGGTAAAGGCCACAGCCGTGAGTGCAAGAACTACCGTGAAATTAGCCTCTGTTCCACCACTGGTAAGATCACAATGAAAATCCGGTTGCGCCTGCAAAAACATTGTAAGCAGTAAAGCAAAGAAGAGCAAGCCTGTTTTCGACCTGGGAGGGATTGCTGCAATCAGATTTTCATTCTTCGCCAACTGATCAACTAAAGAGTTCAATGTAGACAGAGGACAGGGATTGTGTTCATCGACTGCAAATCGAAGATGATCTTAAACAACAATATCTATCCATCGAGCAAGCAAAGGTCAAGGCCATAGATCGTAAGGCCTTGAAAGACATCGTTGACCAAGCTGGAACCCCTACGGCACCCACAGCCTTGTATTGGCTTCATAGACCTCCTTTGCCAACTGCTAGGTAGGGACAAAAGAAAAAGAAAAAAACGAATCATTGTTGTCTGACCTCCAATCCACCTGCATCCAGTTTCCTGCCATTTATCATGTGCCAGATGTTTGGTTCAGCTTTCTTTTTTGTTTTTTTAAATCACCAGAAGCCCTTCCTGTCACAGTCCCAAAGGGATTTGGGTCTCCTCACGGCACTGAACTGGGATGATTTGATCTCTAAACCACTACGCTATGGAGACAAAGCTGTTTTTAATCTCTCATTTTCAGCAAACACATTCAGCAAAATTGGGCAAATGAATAGCAGTTTCATGATCAGGTGCAGTCTTTACTCTTGTTCAAATTAAACTGATAACATATGTGCTTAATTTTTAATTTACTTTTTAATTTATATTCCTTTAATTTACTCCAGGAGGATTAGTGGAAAACAGCCCCTAATCCTTTTAAAAAATCCATGTCATTGTCATGCATAACATTGTCAACGTCTACAATCTGGAGACACCTTCATGAATGGAAATACAGATGGTTTATAACAAGGTGCAAACCACTGGTTACACTCAAGAACAGGAAGGCCAGATTAGACTAAACTCTAAAAGGCCTGCACAGATCTGGGAATTTTTTTTAGCGATAAATGAAACCAAGGTGAACTTGTACCTGACATAGACATGAATGACTTTAACCAGACCACTGGCGTTTGTTGCTGATAGAAGTAACAGGACAAACTATAAAGTGTACAGGGCTATACTCTGTGCTCAGATCCGAAGTGATCAGACAACACTTCACAGTAAAAATGGATAAAGACCCAAAGCAAACCACAAAAGGGACCCAATAGTTTCACAAAGAAGGAGAAAAAGAAGAAGAAGAAATTCTTTGATGGCCTGATCTCAACTTTGCAGTTACAGTAGATGCAGAACGATGTATAAAACGTCGCTCTTGAACAGATATTGGATAAGTTTTTGTTAAACCACTTAAGTAAAAGCTGAAAATTTTTATTTCATTTATATGTCATTTACAAATGTGTAAGAGGAAAAATACAAAAACCTGTTTGTAGAGGCCTTTTCAACAATGCAGGTTCAAACTGGGACCCTAGACCAACACTGAGGTGATGTTTTTGTGATGCTTTTGTAGTGAAGTAGATTTTGGGTAAGTTGGTTTCTTACGTGATGTCCACGAATGCAGAGCTAACATCCACACCCTTCCCAGCCAATAATTAGAGGACGTTATAAGAAAGAGCTGGGCTTCACTAACAGAGAGCCATTTGGTATTCTTTCCCCGTCCAAGGTGGCCAAGAGTGTCAGGCGGCTAAGCACTGCAGAGCGGTTTTATTTCTTCAGGAAAGCTGCTCATTTGAAAAAGTGGATCGTGCCACACTGTTGTAGGCTTGTTGTTGTTTTATGGACTGGCCTTGACTGGCTCCTGGTTTTATGGTCTTTTTTACTCTGAATTGTTTGTATTTTGATCATGCTTTTATAAAGAATTGTATCTTAGGGTGTATTTGTTCTTGTTTTGTTTATATCTCTTTTACTGACTTGTTAAATCTTTTATGTTTTGTTGGTTTTTTTTGCCTTAACGGCGGTACAGCCGCTTGTTGTGGGCCTAGGCACGTGAGGTTGCATCCCCCCTGATACATGAGAGTGTACAAACTGGGAAATAGGTAGATTGGACCCTTTAGATTGCAGTGAGAGTGACAGTGAGGTTTGCAGTGAAACTACACGGGTGAGTAATTGATGGCACCCTTGGTCACTCCTCTCTGTAGGTTGCCTCGTCAAGTTGCCGGTCTCCACTATTTTGTTCAGTTATTTTACCAAACTGCTATTTTACTAGAGTAGCACCGTAGCAGTGAGCCTTGTCTTTTTAATCATTGTTTGTTAATAAAGTGTTTAATTATCGGTCTTGCATTGTCAGCCCTGCTACCTTAAGAAGTTCTCTTATTTTACAGGTCTATGCTTTTACTAGTTTTTCCTAATAAATATTGATTGTAAAATTGTTCTGCCTCACCTCTGCTTGCTAATAACGAGCTTCTGTAACTAGTATGGCATTTGCATTGGCTATAGAAATCTCTCCTGGGGTGTAACTCCCTCCCCAGGTGGCGTTGTCAACACCCTTTAGTCATCTTTACTGGTTTTCCTCCTTTGCGCCACCACATTCTGATAAAAGTCCATCCATTTTGACTTAAATGGATGAAAGATGAGTGGGGGGAAAAGCCATAATCATGGTCTCAACAGCAGCAGTGCCTCTATTTTTTTTTATTGCAGTTAAAACCATGAGTAACACCTTCATAATGTGCTCTTCATTGATTAATTATTCAATAGAGCTGGAACCCAATGGGGACAAAGTGCAGGTGAGGGAACAAAATTAAAATGAAACAGATAAAGATGAAGTCTTTAAAGGCCTGTCTATAGCTGCAATTAAATCAACCTCATGCGGCATTACTCTCTGATCCTGAGAGGTCTTACAAATCTCCTCTGATTCTTTCCAGGTTGGGGAACTAATAACTGAACCACTAGAGGGCAGCAGAGTGACAGGTTGCAGGCATTAGTAGCGCTGACAGGTCTGTACCATACCTGCAAGTTGAGTGCGACAGTGAGCAGCACACAGGCTCCGCAGCAGATCCCAAAACCACAGAGGAGGAGCAGGCGGCGACCTGAGGCTTCCACGATGAACACCTGGGATGACAAAACCCCCGTTCACAGTGGTTATCTCCATCTCACATGATCAAACAGCAGACAGACAAACAGCTCCTCCCCTCAGCTTTGCTGGGTACCTACAGCAGTTACACTCATAAAGACATTTACTGCTCCCGTTCCCACTGTGACATACTGGATGTCACTCTCCCTGACTCCTGCAGAGCCGTATATGATGTCTGCATAGTAGTAGATCTGAGAGAAAAGAGAAATGCATTATGGTTATAACACGACAGCCTGTGAATAAGCAAGAACATAGATGTTGTCATGCATCCTGAAACTGAGTAATGGTGAGAGGGACGAGGACAACTGGATGGGCACGTCTCACCGCATTGACACCCGACAGCTGCTGGCCCATGTTCATGACGACTATGGAGATCAGCTGCCAGCGAAGAGAGCGCTGGGACAGCAGGGAGAACACACTCAGGTGACCTTCGGCCTTCTCGGACTGGTCCTCCTGACGCATCTCCAACAGCTCGCTGTCCACGTCGTCCCACCCACGCAGGCGCTGCAGTGCTAAGAGTGGAAATGCATACAGTACCATAAATGCTCAGTTTATCTTCGATGTGTAGTTGTGCAACATCGCACTTTCTTACCCTTCGTTGCTTTCTTCTCGTCTCCATTCTGGATGAGCATGTACCTGGGGCTCTCAGGGAAGAAGGGGAGCAGCAGGAGCTGAATCGCGGCGGGAATACCAGTAAGGCCAAGCAGGAGGGTCCAGCCTGGACACACACAAGGAACACAGATACGCTTTTAAACCTATTCTTAAGACCATGTCTCAGCATCTGATGAATAAATGATCAAACATGTAAAAACTTAACTACCTGTGCTGTTTCCCAGTATGTTTCTAATGCCCAGCACTTGGGCGCAGAGGATGCCAAAAGTGATGAAAAGTTCTGGAACAATGCAGAGAGCTCCCCTCAGGTTTTTGGGAGCGATCTCACCCAGATACATGGGCACCACAGTGGAAGAGAGACCTGCAGGTGGGAAAGCATGCACGGGTGAAGCTAAACCGCCTGATCACGCCTGATCCTTAACCTGGGCTGTTGTTAAATTCGGGAGCTGACCTGCACAGATGCCTACTATAAACCTGGCTACAATGATGATCTCGTAGGACTTGGCGATCTCACTGACTCCCATCATTATAGCAGGGACGATGGAGAAGATGTTGTTGAAGAGGAGGGTGCCCTTCCTGTAGCAGGGATGAAGCATTAGTTGCAAGAAACATGCAGAGCATGCTAAACTACACGTGGAATGAAGCAGATTCTCACCTCCCAAGTTTGTTGGCCAGAGGGGCCACCATCAGAGAGCCGAAGAAGCCTCCGAGAGGGAACATGGACACGGAGAGAGACCACAGCAGAGTCAGGACGTTCTCCTCCATCGGGCTGTGGTAACGCTCCATGTAGGTTGTATTATAAAACTGCTGCATGAACTGAAAAGAGCAGGAGAGCACTGATAGGAACGAATTATCTTCCCAGCGAGTTCCATTCAAGCTTTTCTTTCTTTAATCAGCTTACCTGCGATGGAGAGTTGACCACAGAGACATTATAGCCGTACTGGAAGGACGAACCAAAGGCAGCTATGAGTGTTGCCAGCACCAGGACTACAGTTAGCCTCTGTTTTTTGTTGGGGAGAGGGGGACAACATCAGAGCGCTATTTGAAAAGTCAGAAAAGAAAATTGTGACCATGGTTGTGATCACACGTGGACTGTAACTCACCCCTTTCCTCTCCACAGGCTTTCCCCATTCCTCGGTGTCCGCCATGGCCGTGTTTGGGCTCGCTGTCACTTCCAGCAGTAATAACAGCACACTTTATTATTACTGCCCACTGGATCCTGCCTGCCCTTTGGACACCAGATTAGAGAGCGTGGCATTGGTTTATGGTTATCGCACTCATGTTGCTAACTGTGCTCTCAGGTTAATTTGTTTTTTAATTTTTCTTATGTAATACACCTGGAAGATTAAAAGCGGATATGAATGTTGATATCTAAATCTTACATTGCACTGTACCCTTCACTAAACAAGATCAATTGATGCAGCTGTCATTAAAGGAAAGAATGATAAGGATAATGCATCTTTATTGCTTTATTGATCCATGTGCAGGTGGATTTATTAAAATATAAATAATTACATAACATAAATATAAATTAATAAATAATTCTTATTAATAGTTTTAGAAGAGTTTTAGTCTGAGTATTACTGAAACAAACCTTTGTTTCCACGCAGCCACTTTTAAGCAGATAATGAAACCACAAAGTTTGATTTTATACATATATAATTGTAAAGCTCAGCAAATTTTCACTACACAGTTGTGCTAATTTAAATTTGTGGTTTTACAGGGAAATATTTTTATTATAAATAGAATTATTTATATGAGGGAATTAAGGGAAGTATTTATATTCATATTAACCATTGGAAACTGTGCTGATTTGTCCAAACTAGAAGATGGTCTATATTAATTAGGCACTGGTTATCTGATAATTTCCTTCTTCTTAATGCAGATAAGACAGATATGATGGTCATTGGAGCACATAAATTACATTACTTGTCCCAAAACTTTGCGCATTGATTAATGTAACATTCTCCTTTCTGAGCTACCGAAGAAAAGCTTTAGAGGTTTACAGATGGTACAAAAGGCAGCTGCTCACATTTTAACCAAAAATGAGAAATATGAGCACATTACTCCAATACTGAAATCTCTTCACTGGTTACTTTGTCAAGTTTGAGCAGGCTTTCAACGGTTTGGCGCCCTCATATCTCTCTGACCTTTTACGGACGATACCTATCAACACCATTACTGAGACTAACCACCTGATCCTGTCACGGCGAATAGAGTGAACCGTGTGGGGAAAGATAAATGAGGATCCACACGCAGGCACTCGCTGAAGGTGTGAAGGTGGTTTATTGTAGAACAAAGGTGCGAATGGCAACATGGAACAAAACTGATCTATACTGAGACAAACTAAACTATTGAGCAATACTGGAAGAGCATGTTGGAGAAGGACGCAACACATAAAAGTGGCTAGTGGATCTAAGAGCAGACCACAGCAACCTGGCTCAAGAAGCTGACTCCACTCTATGAGTGTCTGGCAGTACAAGTGAGCCAGCTGCTAGTCAGTGAGAGACACCCAGAATGGCTAAACGAAGGCCGGACAGTCCTGATCCTCAAGGACCTCCAGAAGGGACCAGTCCCATCCAACTACTAGCAATAACCTCCCTTAGTACCACATGGAAGCTCCTGTCAGGCATCATAACGGCCAAGGTAAACAGGCACAAGGCTCATTAAGTGAGCAGGGTACAGAAAGGGATTGGCAGGAATAACAGAGGAGCATAAATCCACCCACTGGTAGACAGAGCAGTCGCCTGCAAGGCCAGACTGACCAACCTGTGCACTGCCTGGATTGATTACAAGAACTGGATGGTCCATATGACTGCATCCCCCACACCTGAGATCCTAAAAGCTTCACCAGGAACTCAATGGGGATGTGGCATAAAACACTAGAGGCCAACTTCAAGTCAATAGCACAAGTCACCACAAGCTTCTCCAGCTTCTCATGTTCCTTCTTCCTGATGTTGCTGTCATTCGGTATCGTTACATCTGTCACCACAGCCATCTTCTTCTGCTTGTCTACCATCACTATGTCTGGTTGGTTAGCCACCACTATTTTGTTCATCTGTGTCTGGACGTCCCACAGGATCTTAGCTCGGCCATTCTCCTCCACCCTAGGGGGCGTATCCCATTTTGAGCTTTTGACTTCCAGGCCATACTTGGCACAGATGTTTCTGTATACTATGCCAGCCACTTGGTTATGGCGTTCCATGTATGCCCTGCCTGCTAGCATTTTGCTGCCATGTGCTGGATATTCTCAGGGGCATCTTAACACAGCCTGCACCTGGGGTCTTGCCTGGTGTAATAGACCCCAGCCTCTATGGATCTTGACTACACTTCTCCAGTCTGAACGACATTCCGATGTCATTGTTGTATCCTGGTGGTGTGGATCAGTGAATTGATATCTCGTTCACTCTTTGCATGCAGCTTGATGTCATCCATGTACAGGAGGTGGCTGAAAACTGCTCCATTCCATGGCCAGACTTGTCAATGATCTCACTGAGGGGGTTCAGGACTATGCAGAACAGCAGTAGGGAGAGGTCATCACCTTCTTACATCCCACATTTGATGGTGACTTGTGCTATTGGCTTGAAGTTTTACTTGCATCTATTTTACTTGCATCTATTTGAAAAAGTGAGTTTAAACAAAACAAATTATATGCTGGAATATGCAGAAAATAGATTTAAATGTGCATAAAGTTAAAATATTAAAACTAAATATTAAAACTAATAAAATGAGTTTTAAAAAGAGAAATTTTCATTTCATGGAATTTTATATAATGAAATATGCAGAAAAAAGAGAATTGGACTGAAATGTCTATTGTTTTATAACATATTCAGGTTGTGTATTATGTTTTTAAAAGCAACTAAGTAATAAAGTAACAAATTACTTTTGAAAATAAGTAATCAGAACACTATTAAAGGAAATTGTGTAAAGTAACGGGATTACTTTATTGGAGAAGTAATCAGTATTAGCAACTAATTACTATTTTCAGACCAACACTGCTCATAGATATTTACAATCTTTATATTTGAAGATATTCCTAAATTAAACGAATGCGCAGAGAAAAATGCTCCTTAATTCATGTTGTTCGTGGTAGAGAGGTGCTCCCGACTTATTTATTTATTCATTGTCAAACTAATAATGACATGACAGAGATGACTGTCGATTTTAGAAATCAAACATGTGCTCAAGCTTAAATTAAAAACGGAGTTCAGGTTACAGTCAGATGCACAAAAGCTGCTTTTTTGACGCTATAGGATCACTGGGACCGCTCCGGGCGATGTAAGCTTAACGTCTGTGCGGAGTCGCTGTCCTGCGCGACAAAACCGGGAGACGCGGCGAAGGAGATTTTCTGCGTGTTTTTCTCTGCAGAAAATCTGTATGCGATGCCATCACCTCATGATGGAATCCACTGGACATACAGGGGTGGGCATTTTTCATTCAGTGTGTCTGAATTAGTTTTTAAAGAATTTAATGCATAGTTGTATTTTTAATCACCTCAAACTGCGCTTTCATGGATGTTGATGCGTGGTGCGTAAAGCGTAGAGACGTTTATTTTGCAACAGAAATACTCAACAAATAGCATTTTTGAAAAATAAAAATAAAGTGATTGAAATGAAAATTGGGTTATTACTGTTTATTCACAAAGATCAAATTCTTTTGACTGCTTGGTGTCCTGGTTTAACGCGCTGTGCGTTATTGGACCAATACTTTTCGTTTAACAGCTGGTTGGCTCTTGTAAAAACCATGGACCATTTGGTGTACAGCGCAGCTACGATTCTGGCAATGAATGTTATTTGAAGATGCAACATTATTCTGCTGAACAAGTCCACAGCGTGCCAGGGAACCAGCAACATGTGAGCTGGGTGGTTAATCCATTTCAAAGAAGGCTAATGTAAATCCAAAGTTCAAACAGTGTCAGTCTGTACAGATGCACAGAAAGGACCACACCACAGGTTTTTCTGCCTGAACTATCAAAGCATAAATTTACGTGGAGGTTGAGGTAGAATTTCCATTTTTTGAAATCCCCTCATTTATGTATAGTTTCCATGACTGCCATTGCTTTTTGGAAAAGTCACCACTGCATCACATCAACAGCACTGTCAACATTGAAAAGAAATGCCTGCTGCTGAAATAAATGTAGGCCAAGGCTTTCCGGCTATGTAAAGTATTCATGATTTGTGATGATATATTTGTGTCAGTTCAAATCGACCTACCTCCCAGTATGAAAATCACTGAGGGACTCCCAGGAAAGTACACAGCTGTCCAGATGCACCTGCACTGGGGCGGCTGGGACCTGGAGGCCAGCGGAGCAGATCATGCCATAGATGGGATCCGCTACATGGCAGAGGTAGGCTTACAAAACACAAAGGTTGTCCACTGCAGTAAAGCCAGGTTTTAAAGAACGTCCGTCTCATGCTCAACCAAACTGGGATCAATTATAGGTGCAGAAGTTTAAAGGGATGATGGGTTTCATCAGAGTGAATTCTTTTAACAAGGAAACCAGAATGACCTGCATCTATTAATCAGCCCTCTTTTTTGAAACCACTTCTAATCTGCACACAAACAAATTTCTTGCTTCCTGTTGAACTGTTTCAAGACTTTCTTTCATTTCATCAAACAGCTGAAACAATCGAAAGTTAGTAAATGCATTTCTATCTCCCGATAGTCTTCAGCTACACGGCAGCACAGTGAATGAGCGCTTGTTTCCACCGGGCTGCTCTGGATCTCAGACGGCCTGTAACCTTCAGCTATGAGACGCTTCCTTTCCTTTCCTTTGAGAGGTCATCGCCGCAGCAACGCCACAGCTGGCATCCACTGTGATAGCAGCAAATAATTAAGATGCATCCAAGTGAGAGTTTACATAAAACTGGGACTTTATTTTCACTTCTACAGCACTTTACTCATAAGTTAATATCTGACATCTATCAAAGAAGGAACATTAAACAGTCAGAATGACTGAAAAATATAACATATCTGTAAAAACATGACCAAAACTGCCAGATGTGTGCAACCATTATAAGTGAGTTATTGAATGTCTGTTAAAAAAAAAAAAGCAACTTTTTTTTGGTTTCTAGCTGTTTAGAAAAGAGGTCAATAAATCTGGAGTTTTGGTTGCATCAGTGCCTTTTAAGTATGTTAAATACAATTTAATGATAAAGCTTAAAGCAACACAGATCCTAAAAAACTGTAATAATCCTCTAAAGCCTGCATTTATGGGATCAAGTCACAATGATCTCTTTTCACTGAAACTTTAAGCATCAATGTTACACAGCTTTGTTTTATTTTCTTTCCAGGGTGGCCATTTTGAGAACACCTACTATAGTGATTTTATTGCAAACTTGAAGAAAATCAAGTATGCTGGTGAGTTACTCACTAAAACAAACAAACAGAAGAAAAACCCCACATTGCTCTACTTGGGGTCAGAATCCAAATGTGACCTCTAGCTGAGCCATAACTCACTGGTTTAGTTTAACATGGTGTTTGTGTAACCCTCACAGGTCAGTCCATGAACATATCCAACCTTGATGTCCGCTCAATGCTCCCCGAGAACCTGAAGCACTTCTTCAGGGCTCCCTCACCACTCCGCCCTGCTACGAGAGCATCCTCTGGACTGTGTTTGATAACATCCATTGACGACAGTCATTCGGGTGCTTGTTCATCTTACAAGTGCCAAACATAGCTATATGTAAGGGATGGCTGTATTCACTTTGCAGTGTTTGCTTCTTTCCTTTTTCTTTCCTTTAGGTGGATTTCACAATTCAAGGTCTATCAGATATGGTGGGTGGTTTTAAAATTTGATATTGATCTGCAATTAAAGTTAGATTGGTGCTTCTCCAGCCTGATTCTTGTTTTTCTGTTGTCCTCAGAAACTGGCTCTTTGTTTCCTTTGGTGCTCAATTTCCAAGAGAAAGATTCTGGCAGTTATGCTTTGGCCAGACCAAAACTGAGCATGTACGGAGGGGTGCAGCTGGACAGTCAGTACAGATGTTCCTGATGCTTCTGTTTGTATGAGCTTCAACATGCTGCAACAAGCCAGAATATCATCTGTTGATGTTGGGGATTTGATTGAATTGTTGGTGAAGGGTTCATGGTATGTTTTACAAAGAATAAAATGCTTTTCAAGGCGCCTACAGACCAATATTAAAAACACGTCACAGCTTGAGCCATGTACTGCATTCATATGTCATCAATAAAAGCTTACAAGAGACCTGCTGTCTGCTCACTGACTCCTTCACACGTCCTTAACGCTGCATCTAGTGCATACACCGACTCACAGCAAACCTTAGCCTGCATGGAAATCTACCAACATCTGCAGGCACAAATACAAAGAAAAGGCACACAGAGGCATCTAAAATTAAAACACTGTCAAGTCTTCTACCACACACACACTCCCTCGCTCCACACCCGCAGCGAATACTTCCTCTTCTATCAATGTTCTCCTTCTTTCTTCAGAAGGGCGTGGCCTTCTGTGCATCCTGTGGGCTCTCTTTGAGCTCTTTCAGCGGCAGATCGCCGTCACCCAGATTTAACTCCACTTTGTTCCTCTTTGCAAACATCTGGAAGACCTCCAGGAAGGTCTTCTTCTTTGTTTCGGGCACCACCAGCCAGATGTAGATCAGGGTGACCAGACAGATGACGGCAAAAATGATGAAGCTGTAGGGGCCCAGGCCTCGCTGGGGAGAGAAGGAGAGGAAATGTGATTTCTGGGTCCTCGACATGAAATGTAAATATGTCAGGGAGACAAACAGAGCAAACAAGGTGAGGTCAAAAGTGAAACACTGCTCTTTATCGATGTTTCTCAAGCATCTTCTTCCCTTGATTACACTTTCAGGTTTAAACTTGTAAGAGGAAGTAAACATGAGATGAAGCTTATGTTTATATCTAAGATCACGTCATTCAGTGAAAACTCCTACACATAATGTCTCCTCATTTAAGATTTTACAATATGTTTTCTGGTGTTATAATATTCAAGCTCCGACATTATGTTTCAGGCGTTGTAAATGCAGTAAAAATTGTTTCTGGTGCTCTCTGCATGTTTGCATTCCTCATGTATCTTCCTCCTCCTCATTCCCTATGTTGTGCCTCTTCTTGTCCTTTTCTTATTTTGTTTTCTCTGTCTGTGTTTGTGTACGAGGAGTAGGTGAGCCACTCCCTTTCCAGTTTTTCCCACTTCACTCGACGACCGAAACCAACACTGTTCTCTTGTGCTTAGATCCACCAGCTTCGCGCCTGCCTGCCTGTTTTAATCAGCTGCTTTGATCACCCCGGGCTCCAGTCTGCCCTGTTTACTGTGAGTCAAACAACAAGCCAGCTTTGCACACAGAAACCGTTCCTGACTAGTTCAGCAGCCAGCAACACTAAGCCATACACCTAAAATAAACTCCTTCTTTTCTTGACATGCACAAGAAATATTCTAAATGTCACCTAAAGGTGGAGTGTGCATCAGGTAGGTGAGTGATAGGTCCAAACTGCATTCTCTAGCAATGACAGCAATCAATGATAAACAGGAGGAACCAACTGATTTTTTAAAATGTTGTTCTCAGTTTGATACCTGAATCAAACTTGGTGCTGAACCATTAGGAAAATGTTGTAAAAGGAAAAAATATATCTGAAATCTACTTTTTCTACTTTACCTGAGCACTCGAAGCACTTTATACAAAACGCTTAATTTGCCCATTCCAATGAAGACTTTTTTCTCTCTGCTGAAGTGCTTTCTATCTGACACTCACTGGTTTCTTCAGCTCTGCCACCTCCAGCTCAGCCTCCTGACTTTTTGTTAGCACCACAGTCTCCAAACCATTCATCATAGCAGGTCTCACTACCATCTTGTAATCTTTCCCTTTCACTCTTGCTGCTATCTTGTTATAAATCATCCTTGACACTCATTTCTAGCCACTCCACCCTGACTGCAATCTACTGCAATCCTCTCCTCTCTTACGCACTGTTTGTTGCAGCATATTCTTTACTTAATTTTTATATTTGTGTTGCAAGGATGAAATGCAAACGAGTGCACTTAAATCTTTTCTAAACAGGTTAATCCCTGTTTAGAAAAGCAATCCCTTGTTTGCAAATCTATGCAAATTGCAAAGAAAATATCAAAGTAATCCAATTCTAAGTGGCATAAAAGATCACATTACAGTGAGGATGTGGGGGGAACTGCCTTGCTGGTTATGCTCGACAAAACATCTGGAACTAATTCCACTGAAGTCTGAGCCTGCAGAAATTGAGAAACTAACCTCGAGGAAGGGGAAGACGAGGCCAACAATGAAGTTGGAGAGCCAGTGGACGGAGCCGGCCACCATGAACGCCGCAGGCCTGGCTGTTTGCCGGAACATCTCAGTGGCCACCACATAAGGAATGGGACCTGCAGAACAAAAATGCAATTAACCACAACCAAAACACTCGAGACAGACATCATCAGTCTTCACAGTCAGAGAGGATGCTCATGTCTCAAACAAACTGAGTGCTGATGTACAAACTTTGATTATATGCCTGGTTACATCTAAACAACACTTCAGCTAATGGAGCGCCCTGCTGTAATCAGTATGTGTGTAAAAAGCCACAGGTCTACTCAGACAGACTCACTCGGTCCTATGGCATGTCCGATGACGTAGATGATGACAGAGGCGATGCTGACATAGGGCATCCATGTCACAGTCTCCTGCAAACACAGACAAGCAGCTCTCAGTAACTATTCCTTCTGATGTTTGTAAGCAGGAGCAACAGTAACGGCTCCACATGGAGGCCTTGAGGATCAAAGGCAGATGATTAATGTGCCTACTCTCCATTGTGTCTCTAAATTGTGCCTTTACTGCTGCTGAAAATGACGCCTGTCTGAAAACATTGGCTCCAGGTGAGGTTGCAGGTTTGAAGGAGGGCAGCACTGCGTTTGCGGTTCTCTCTAATAGTCAGTGTTTATGTGCAGGTTTCATGGCTCCTGCAAACAAAGGGGCCAAAATATCACTTTACTGTCTCAGACCATGATGGGAATCTTAGACGTACAACATGATTAGAGGCTGGTAATCTGTAGCACGGTGACACCGTTTGTTATTTTGGCTTTTTACTGGTTGCGTCTTGTTTAATTATTTTGCCAATCTGTCATCATGTCAGATTCTGCTGTTCCTTAGCTGTCCTGCAGGAGTTCTCACTGTGGCTTTTCAGAAATGGCCAAAACATAGGGATAAAGTGCGGGTGAAATTAAATCAAACATAAAGAGATGTGGGTCTCCACACCCACCTGAATCCAATTTCCTGTTATTTATCATGTGCCAGATGTTTGGTTTAGCGTTTTAAAAACAACAACAAAAAAACAAAACAAAACACCAGAAGCCCTTCTTGACACAATCCCAAAGGGATTTGGGTCTCCTCCCTATACTGAACTGGGATCTTTTGCCTGTTAGTCAGATGTATAAACCACTACACTATGGAGACAGAGATGTTTTTATATATAATGTCTCATTTTTAGGAAACACAAAAGTAATTAGGCAGCTGACAAACAGTTGCATAGTTAAGTGTGGCCTGTACCCTTTTACAAATTAAACTGATAACATATAAGCTTAATTTACTAATCCTTTCAAAAAAAATCCATATCATCGTTGTGCATATCAGTTTCAACATCTACAATCTGGAGACACCTTCCTGAATGGAAATAGAGGATTTATAATATCACCCTGGTAATAACCCTGGCAAGTTTTAGATCTCACCCTGGGTCAACACACCTGAATCAAATGATTAGTTTGAAGCCCTCCAGTCCTCTGGAGGGCTTCAAGACATGTTGAGGAGGTAATTTAGCCATTTAAATCAGCTGTGTTGGATCATCTAAAACCTGTAGGACACTGGCCCTTGAGGCCTGGAGTTCCCGTCCCCTGTTTTATAACAAGGTGCGAACTACTGGTTACACTCAAGAACAGGAAGGCCAGATTAGACTAAACTCTAAAAGGCCTGCACAGATCTGGAAAAAAAAATCTTGGGATAAATGAAAGCAAGATGAACCAGAGTGACGGAAGAAAAAAAAAATGGAGAAGCAGAGAAACGGTTCTGGATCTGAAGCATACTGCACCATCTGTCAAACATGGTGGAGGCAATGCTATGGCATGGGCATGAATGACTTGAACCAAACCACTGGCGTTTGTTGCTGACATGGCTGCTGATAGAAGTAACAGGACAAACTGTAAAGTGTACAGGGCTATACTCTGTGCTCAGATTTGAAGTGCTCAAACAATGTTTCACAGTAGTTTGATGGCCAATCTCAACCCAAGCACAGCAGCTTTGCAGTTTTAGTATATGTACAACTATGTATAAAACCCATGTAACTTCTGAACAGCGATTGGACAAGTTTTCGTAAAACTACTTGAGTAAAATCTGAAAATTTGGATTTCATTCATACGTCATTTACAAACATGTAAAGAGGCAAAACTACAAAAACCTGTTTGACATATTATTGACTAACTGTCCACAGTAGAGGCCTTTGCAACAGTGCAGGTTCAAACTGGGACCCACGTTCTGGACTCTAAGTAAGCCAAAAGTCTGTCCACTCTGAGTTAATTGCATGAAAGATGAGTGGGGGAAAAAAGCCATAATCAGTGGTGGTCTCAACAACAGTAGAGTGCCTCTATTTTAATGCAGTGGGGTTAAAACTATGGAGTTTTAACCCCACTTAAAACTCCATAGTTTAACGCCTTCATAATGTTAAATTTTATTCAGTGCTTTTAATTAATTAATTATTCAACAGAGCTGTAACCCAGTGGGGACAAAGTGTAGGTGAGAGCAGAAAATTAAATTCACACAGATTAAGATGAAAATTTTAAAGGCCTGTTGCTGTAGCCTTGTAGGAATGAGGATTTTGGTGGCTGCTGTTGGGGAAAAAAAAGAGTGTCCTGGTTATCCAAAAATATGCTAAACAATGACTTAAATTCAGTAACATGGAAGCATAATATGTGAAATGCTGTTAAAATTACAAGCAGCTCACATTTACGAACTCACCTCTAACTATAATTAGTACATTTTTAGACTATAGCTGCAATTAAATCAATCTCACGAGGCGTTACTCTCTGATCCACTGATCCTGAGATCATAAACAGGATCTTGCAAATCTCCTCTGATTCTTTCCAGGTTGGGGAACTAATAACTGAACCACTAGAGGGCAGCAGAGTGACAGGTTGCAGGCATTAGTAGCGCTGACAGGTCTGTACCATACCTGCAAGTTGAGTGCGACAGTGAGCAGCACACAGGCTCCGCAGCAGATCCCAAAACCACAGAGGAGGAGCAGGCGGCGACCTGAGGCTTCCACGATGAACACCTGGGATGACAAAACCCCCGTTCACAGTGGTTATCTCCATCTCACATGATCAAACAGCAGACAGACAAACAGCTCCTCCCCTCAGCTTTGCTGGGTACCTACAGCAGTTATGGTCATAAAGACATTTACTGCTCCCGTTCCCACTGTGACATACTGGATGTCACTCTCCCTGACTCCTGCAGAGCCGTATATGCTGTCGGCATAGTAGTAGATCTGAGAGAAAAGAGAGAAATGCATTATGGTTATAACACAACAGCCTGTGAATAAGCAAGAACATAGATGTTGTCATGCATCCTGAAACTGAGTAATGGTGAGAGGGACGAGGACAACTGGATGGGCACGTCTCACCGCATTGACACCCGACAGCTGCTGGCCCATGTTCATGACGACTATGGAGATCAGCTGCCAGCGAAGAGAGCGCTGGGACAGCAGGGAGAACACACTCAGGTGACCTTCGGCCTTCTCGGACTGGTCCTCCTGACGCATCTCCAACAGCTCGCTGTCCACGTCGTCCCACCCACGCAGGCGCTGCAGTGCTAAGAGTGGAAATGCATACAGTGCCATAAATGCTCAGTTTATCTTCGATGTGTAGTGTAGTTATGTGCGAAATGTGAATGATGGTGGTGATGATGATGGTCCGCACGGCACCGCCGACCACGGCTCACCACAGAGATTTTTCATCAACCCTGCTCAACAAAGATACCGGGGAACTGGTGACACTTGTTGGAGATGTGGGGGAGATGGAGCTAACCATTTCCATATCTTCTGGGATTGCAAAGTTATTCGCCAGTACTGGTCTCTAATCCACGAACGTCTACAAAATGTTTTTTCATTTGTTTTCCCTTTAACCTTTGAGATTTTTGTGTAACACACCAGTGGATAAATTGAATTCTAATGATAGAAGACGTTTGTATATCCTACTGGCTGCGAGTAAAAAGCCCCTTATGAGGAGATGGCTTAAGCCTGAACCACCAATGATGGAAGATTGGATACATTCTGTACAAGAGACATATACGATGGAAAAATTGTCATTTTCTCTTAAACTTCAGAGGGATACCTTCTACAGAATATGGTCTAAATGAACAGAATACGTTAAGCCTGTTAGGTGTGATTTTTTTATGAACCATGCTTTTTTTATGTTGATGACATCGCACTTTCTTACCTTTCGTTGCTTTCTTCTCGTCTCCATTCTGGATGAGCATGTACCTGGGGCTCTCAGGGAAGAAGGGGAGCAGCAGGAGCTGAATCGCGGCGGGAATACCAGTAAGGCCCAGCATGAGGGTCCAGCCTGGACACACACAAGGAACACAGATACGCTTTTAAACCTATTCTTAAGACCATGTCTCAGCATCTGATGAATA